TTTCAGGCATTCAACAGCAAATTACAGCTGTAAAATTACATTACTCATTTGGAATTTCATAAATTTTTTACACTGTTCATTCACAATCCTAATCAGAAACTAAATTTAGGCGACTTACTACTAACAAACGAGTTAAGTAATATAAACACTGATCTGATTTAAATTTCATTTTATCAACTTAGTCAAATCATTGTAATCTAAATATTGAGCTTCAAAACCCACTTTCCATAGAACCTATTCAGCAGCTTTACATTAACAAGTTTGAGTTTACGCAATGATGTGTCAGGACTTTTTGGTCTACATGTGCATCCTCTGTGGATTGCCTCGATATTGACTTTAGGTTACAAGTATTATTAGTTAAAGCATAAGGTGGTTGATACTGTAATGACGCGGGTCGGGATTGACTACGACCACCACTACAGATCATTTACGTGCCCGTCACAGAAAAGATAAAATATTCCATACTACAGAATATATTTGCTGGCGATTTCGTGGTATCGAAAGAATACCAAAATTGTGCTAGAAAGGAGGGGCGAGATGACAGAGATAGTGAAGCCGAAATGGCAGCAACACAAACTGAAAGTTTGCGCGTACATAGTAGTAGTAATAAACAAAGAGGTTCAGTAAAACAATCACTGGTACAATTGGTCATAACAATCAATGTTTGTATTAAACCAATCGCGTTCTCTTGATAAAAGTAGATCACTACAATACAATCAAGTTTATTTTAACTGATAATAATAACTGACGGCTCTATAAAATCAGTTGGCATTGGGTAAAGAAGTCACTTCAAATGGTGTCCGTCAGGGATGTCCACTTTCTCCATTCTCGTCTAACTTTATCATAGACATACTCCTAGATATAACCTTATCCTCGTCTGAATTTTCAGGAGTAGACCTTTTACCTGCTGGCTCGCTTATTGACTTAGAATATGCCGATGACATAGTCCTACTTGGTGAAGACGCTGACAGAATGACCACCCTAAACGACAATGCAAGCATGTTCGGGATGCAGTTCTCACCCTCGAAATGCAAAATATTGTTTCAAGATTGGGTCGCATCAGCACCTGAACTAGTGATAGGGAGTGAAGTAGTCGAACGTGTAGACCGCTTCACTTATCTGGGGAGTATCATCAGTGCTGATGGCCTGATAACTGACGAAATCTCAGCTCGGATGCAGAAGGCTCAATTGGCTTTTGCCAACCTGCGTTACTTATGGTGTAGGCGAGATATCCGCTTGTTAACCAAAGGACGAGTGTATTGCACAGCAGTTCGCTCCGTTCTCCTATACGGATGCGCAAAATGGCCGTTAAGAGTAGAGGACATTCATAGGTTACTGGTTTTTGATCATAGGTGTCTTCGAAGCATGGCTCGTATAACGTGGGACAACCGTATAAGCGATGCTGTCGTTAGGAAACGAGTTCTAGGTAAGGATGGCAAATCAATAGATGAAATATTGAAACTTCATCAGTTGAGGTGGTTGGGACATGTCTTGCGTATGCCGAACCACCGACTGCCTCGACGAGCCTTGTTTTGTAGTGTGGGAGTAGGTTGGAAGAAAGTTAGGGGCGGCCAAACCAAAACATGGCAGAAATCCATGAAGTTACTGACAAGTGGACTGAGTCATGTTTGTAGATGTAGGCTATCTGGTTGGGGTCCGCGAGATGATAATAATCGATGGCTAGAGACCTTGAATGACATGGCTCAAAATCGTTCGCAATGGCGCCGGTGCATTTATTCCTTCTGAATTTATCTGACTGAATTATGCTTTTCGAATCATATCTTCGCTCCCTAATCTTCTCCATTACTGCTAATAATTCTACTATCGCTATCGCTCTTGGATTTGAACTGACAGTTACGTCTCTGTGCTCATGTGGTATGGCAACCTCAACTGATGTACTTATGTACGAAGTTCTGCGTTGTATCTGTATATCTGTCTGTCTAAGAAGTCATGGAAATATCAGTTTATAAGTGAATCTTTCAAATGTATTATATTTATAAGGAAATACTGTTTTATAAGACTTTTGATATGATTATTTCTAAAAATGATGAAGTAAAAAGTCAGTCAATTGAAACTTCTTAAGTAATTACATTGATATTGACAATGAATTGAAGTTTAATTTATAAGTTAAGCTGATTATAGCAATCAAGAGTACAATGTTTGACACTAGTTGTGTGTAAATGAAAAATATGTATAACAGTTTCCTGAGCATTTTCTATAGAATTATAATCTGGACAAAACTACCAATGTTAAAACAAAGAACAGTAGAAGTATTCTGAAAAGATGAAGTTGATTGCTTTTCAAATAAAGTTCGACAGTGTATTTATGAATGAATACATAAAATAATGGGGCGTGGAATGTGGTACCACCGATGAACAGTTTGTTGAAGGTACATAGGTTTGCAAATCTCTTACCATTATCATTCCTTTCTCCCAGTCTATGTCATCCCATGATGTCTTCATATCCTCCATTGTTGTCCATTACAGCATTGGTGTTTGGATCTTCCATCAGAATAGTCAAATCCTTTGTTAGTAGACATTTATCAACGACTGACTGAAGCCTTTCGTAGAATTCATCTTTAACGTCTTCATTGTAATAGTTGGTAGGTGAATGGCAGTGAATGACATTCATTGAAGGATGCTTTGATGATCCTGGGTCCATGAGATTTCCATCTTATCATTGCTTTTTGTGATTCTTTGGACAGGATCAGTGTAAATCCTTGTGTATGTGAAGCATGTCCTTCTTCATTGCTGGAGTATAACAGCAGTTCTCCTGAAGCTAGTCTTTGTTGTCCAACCTGCGTCCAATGTGTTTCGTTGATTCCAAGCCCCACTAGGTTGTATCTTTTCATTTCCGTAGCAACTTGAATGATTCTTCCGGCATCCCCCAATGTACAAACATTCCATGTAGCTGTATTAATGGTTAGTCTGGGTTTTTAAAAGGGGTATTGGCCTCGTGACTTTTGTAGAAACTCAGCTTTCATCATGAGACTTCATAAACCTTCTAAATGAGGTCCTTCAAACTCTCAGGGCATGGTTTAAATGGTTTGAATTATCTCCTCTGGTTAGCATTTTTATATTGAGTTTATTTTCAATGGTATAGGATGGCTAACCTCACACCCAACCCTCTTCCTTTATCCGAGCTTATGACCTGTAGGCTACATTTCTACAACTGAAGAACTTCTCGAACTCAAAAAGATCAAACAATAACGAAGTCACAATTTCCGATATAAACATCGAGACAGTTTTATCGTACAGAGCTGGGACCTTGAGAACTACGAGAATCATAATCCTAACGATACAGCCATCTATAAACAGTAGTCTACACAAGATACTCCGAATCCGTTAGCCAGACACCATCAACAACAACAAACCACCATGGGAGAGAACAAACCAGAATCCAGCCAAGGAAGAAATTAAGAAAAACGCTGGAAGTGGATCAGACACATTGTGGAGATCGCCAGAGTGAGCTACGACGCAAGCCCTCACATAGAATCCTCAAGGTCAAATAACACATTGTGTTGGGAAGCGGAGGTAGACATGAAAATAATGAGTAGCAGTTGAGAAAAACTGGGAGGAGCGGACGACAGAGCTGGTCAGAGATGGATGATCGACAGCTTGCAGTAACAGGTGTAAGTAATCAGAAAGTAGGCTATTTACAGAGACTACGACAATTTTCAGTTAATCCCAGGTGTCTTCCCTTCTCACTTAGTTTACCTACTGGAGCGTTAAAGTCACCAGTCATTATAACTATATCAGAACGCTTAACTTTTTGGAGGAGGTCCGAAAGCTTTCTGTAAAACTCATCTTTTACATCATCTGGGCTGCAGTCAGTGGAAGCGTAGGCAGATACGACGAAGAGGCAACGACGAGTGTCCCTATACTTCCAAGTCTTTACTCTCCCGTTTAGTCGGACAGCGCAAAAGCGACTATCTACAGGGATCCACTCTAAGAGATTGTTCAGCCCTACGACTCAATGCTATACCTACACCAGCGAGACCCCTGGAAGCAGCATCAGGGCTTCCAGATACACGAAGAGTAAATGGAGTTGCTTCTTTGCTTTAAATAAGGTGGAATCAAATTAATGATTTTACTAGGATCCTGTATGCGCGTTTCCGAGACGCAGCATACATCGATGATACGAGATTCTAAAGTCCTAGCCAAGGAAGCCTGTTGCCCTATTTGACACAATGTCCGTACATTAAAAGCTCCAACATGTAGTCTAGAACGGGATTTAAGGAGACCAGGAATAACGTTTCGCGAACTCGCACCGTTTGCATTAACGGTGCAGTGAGATGAAGGAATGTAAGTAGAGTTAGTCGTGGAGATAAGAGAGGTATGTGTGGGTGTAGGAAGGATTTGATTTCAACCAGTTTGGTCTCATGTGTTGTTACGGGTATGAGGGCGGTTGTCACTTCCCGGCTGACCACACCGTGGAAGGGTGTTTCTTGAGGGACCTGAAAAGGAAGATAAATTAGTGTTGGTTTTAGAGACCTGAGAGCGTGACCACGGAGCCCAGGGGACAACTGTTTGAGGCCGGTCACGCACAGCCTTTTTATGAAAGATTTTTTGAGTATTAGCTCAACTATTTTATAGCCCTTATTGAGCAGCCCTTACCGACGGAGACGGAAATCTGTGAGGTAGGAAGGTGACATTTTTAGGGTCGACCTTTTCTGACCCTTCCTTCCTTGTGAGAAGGCAGCATCACTGCAGATGCCGGTTGTCCGAGGGAAACACCTTACTGTTGTCACGTCTCTCCACAGTCAGTCAGCAGTACAACTTCGCCCTCAGACCTTGAGTAGCTGCTTTTAGTCTCATCGTTCTCCAATCAACCTGCCTGGCATGGTAGAACTTTCAGGAACATATGTTCCAACCAATATAGCTCGGTTGAGTCATCACGATAGGCAAGCCCAACCAACACCACGTCAAAGTAGAAGCTACGAGGATGCAATTAAACAAATTTGGACGAAACAAAAAAATAACATGATAAAATTGAAGCTATCCACAGTACCCAAACCTGTTTGAAGTGAATTTTTCAAAACAATACTGAATTGGTATAAAGTTTTACAGTGAAGTATTGTACACAGTACAATCAATCAGTCAGTTAGCAAACAGAAAAGAGATTTTTTAAACAAAAAATGAAAACATAGCATAGCTAATATTATTTCTAAAATATCATCAACTTAACACAGTCAGTCTTCATGAACACGTGATAATAATTCAAACTGATGTCGATTGTGTCTCGCAAATATTTGTATTTCACTTTTGAGAAATGATAACTCTCGATAAGTATGATTAAGTCTGTCAGAATAAACATAACATTGAACATTTTTTTCAAGATATTACAAAAAAGTAATTAGTAATATGACCAGTCAGTCAGACATAAATTACAAGTATTTTATGTAAGTATTTAATAAAAAATACATATTCGACTTCAGACGAAATAAACATAAAAGTTGAATAAGAATTCAGTGTAATAATTTACAAAATTCCCAAAAAATAGTATTTTTACTGTATTAAAGCTGATGTTTATTGTTGATTACCACCTCCCATATTCCCACCACCACCACCAGCTGCATTAGGATCTTGCATACTGGAGAATAGAATAAATAGGAAAACTGCTGGAATAATGTAGGTCCACTGAAATGAATAAGAAGTAGAAAGTATTATGAGTTTATGATTACTATTTAAAAACTAATAACTCTTCAAAAAGAAATATACAGTGACACAATTGAGTAATAATTGATATCAACAAGCAATTACCAACGTTTGGATCAGTCAGTCAGTCAATTACAACGTAGAACTTCGTACGTACGTACATCAGTTCAGGATTGCCATACAGCATTAGCACAGAGACGTAACTGTCAGTTCAAATCACATAGTGGTAGCGATAGTAGAAGTGTTAACAGTAATGGAGAAGATTAAGGATCGAAGATATTATTCAAGAAGTTTGAATAACAGTTGTCGGACTAATGGATCAGTCAGTCAGTTGCAACGTAGAACTTCATACGTATGTACATAAGTTCATATAGCCATACCACATTAGCACAAAGACGCAAATGTCAAATCAAATCCCATAGTGATAAAGATAGTAGAGGTATTAATGGTAATGAAGAAGACTGGGGTTTGAAAATATCATTCAAGAAGTATAATTAAGTGAGATAAGGTTAGAAAGACAAAGGTAGAAGTGGTAACGAATCCAGAAGGTTAGGATTTGAGAGAGCACAACGAATTGATGCACTTGCGCCATTGCGAACGATTTTGAGCCATGTCATTCAAGGTCTCTAACCATCGATTATTATCATCTCGCGGACCCCAACCAGGTAGTCGACAATTACCGACATGGCTAAGTCCACTCGTCAATGACTTCATGGATTTCTGCCATGTTTTGATTTGGCCACCCCTAACTTTCTTCCAACCTACTCCTACACTACAAAACAAAGCTGGTCGAGGTAGTCGGAGGTTAGGCATACGTAACACATGTCCCAACCACCTCAACTGATGAAGTTTCATTACTTCATCTATTGATCTGCCATTCTTACCTAGCACCCGTGTCCTATTAACAGCGTTGCTCACTCGGGTGTCCCACGATATACGTGCAATGCTTCTCAAACATCTATGATCGAATACTAGTAACCTACAAACATCTACTCATAACGGCCATGTTTCGCATCCATATAGGAGAACGGGGCGAACTGCTGCGCAGTACACCCGTCCTTTGTTCAGCGAACGAATATCTCGCCTACGCCATAAGTGACGCAGGTTGGCAAAAGCCAATCGAGCTTTTTGTATCCGAGCTGAGATTTCGTCAGTCACCAGACCGTCAGCACTGATGAGACTCCCCAGATAAGTGAAGTGATCTACAGGCTCGACTACTTCACTCCCTATCACTAGTTCAGGTGCCGGTGCAACCCACTCTTGAAGCAACATTTTGCATTTCGAGGGTGAGAACCGCATCCCGAACATGCTTGCATTGTTGCTTACGGTAGTCAGAAGACTCTGCATTTTGTCGGCGACTTCACCGAGTAGAACTATGTCATCGGCATATTCTAGATCAGTAAGCAATTTTCCTGGTAGTAGGTCAACCCCTGAAAAATCTGACGAGCTTAATGTTAACTCTAAGAGGATGTCTACGACAAAGTTAAACAAGAATGGAGAGAGTGGAGAGCCCTGACGGACACCACTTGCTGTAGAGAATTCAGATTACAGTTCGCCATATGCTCTCACCCGACCAGTGGTGTTCGAGTAGAGAGCTTGGATAAAGTTAATGTACTTCTTTGATACACCTTTCAATGAGACACTGCCAGGACTAATCGATAATATAATTCAGTTTGTAATTTTTAATTTTGATATCATCAGTTGGTTGACATAATTTTCTTGTTGTTTCGATCCTTAGATTTATAGTCAGCACCAAAGTGAATAGTGAAAAAATTGTAAGAACCTGAAATGTGTGTGTACTAGCGAAATAAATCAAAGAAAATAATTTGGAAACTCTGAATCTATGAAAGGAGAAATAGTGAATCGATCTGAGCCATTCAGGTCGATTCCGAATCACGTTCTCCAACGTCTTCAACCGTGTGGACCATAACCACACAGTTTTCACCTATCAACGTGGCTTAAATCAAAAAGTAATGACTTCATGAACTGATAAAAAGTTTTGGTTCGACTGCTCTTGCTACTTGTCAACCTTCCTCTACGCCATCGGACAGCCCTGGTAGAAGTAGAGAATATGCAATACATATCAATTACTTTGATCACTGAAGATTCGCAGGTGTAACAACTGAATTACCATGCGTCTAGTAGTCAACGTCTATTTATTATTTTTACTGAAACATAATTATTGGTACCGATGGGCACTCAGACATTACTGCGTCACACAGACCAATTTGTGTGTAGGTTGAGATACGGTCTGTGTGCCGAAAATGAATGAAGTCGTTTTCTTAGGCCACTTCCTGAGTTTTAAACCTAGAGGACTAACCCGTACGGTATTGGAGCAACATCAAAAAATGCAGTCTCATGATAGTGATCAACAGTCAATCAGGGTCTTAAAGCCCATGTGCATCATTCGTTTGATATCAAAGTTTATCCATTGCCTTAAGGTAGATCCTTTGTATCCACCAACTCAATTAAATCATCGAACATGAACCTTTCGTCCTGTCGATTTCGTAAACAGCAGCTTGCCATGAGAAAGCAGTGAGTATGACTGCTCTGGCAGCGACTATATTAGCATGGCCATATAAAAACATTTCGAGAGGGGGGAGGATTCTTAACATCACATCTTCGAAAGCTAATCATTCGATTTCCGCTAATACAGCTACAACCTCTATTGCTATGGGATTCGAAGATACAATTCGATAAGTCCGTGCAAATGTGGATTGGCAACTTGGAGAGATTTACGCACGTACCAATTTCCACGTTATAACTGACTGAACGTGTTACACTGTCTCTGTAATCATGAGTGAAATGTGTACTATGCATAATCTTGACACAAAATAATGAAGTAAGATTCAAGTTTTTTGGTTAGAGAGAGTAAATATTATTCCATACATAAGGTATGAATCTGATTCAATATAGAGTCAGACTGAAAAACATTCAAGTACTCATGACAAGTTAAGATATTGACACTGTTCCAAGGCAGCGTAAACAGTACCCAATACATATGAGCGATGAAAATAAATTTCAAGAGAAACGGTTAGCTAAGTTATGTGAAAACAAAGTGTAGACAAGGTAGAAGTTAATCAGAAACTAGAAATTAACTTTCTTGGGAGTAACCTAGATAGGTAGATTTATTTTGAAACAACAAACAGTAAGGTACTTAATTCATTATGGCATAATTACGACAATAATGCTACCCGAGGAATTTAAAAGACATTAAAACTCATTAGTTTGGAGAAGTATACCTATAGAAACTATATCAAAACGGACACTTACATATTTAGCAAAAAAGGAACGATTGTCACTCTGCTCAGCACGAGCCATTTCTTCGCGTTGCTTCTCGAGTTTCTCTAGATATTTTGCGGTTTCGGGACTACATAGTGAAAAATTGATGAATCTCACTGATACCTTGGTCCTAATCTTGGTTTATGTACTGCAAAAGTTATAGATAAATCTGGGAGATCCACATAACTGGCAGAAACATCATATGAGCAATCATACTTTGGAGTACTCATATGTATTGCAATAGGGTCGCCTGCGTCATTCACACTAACTATGAGCTTCAGTCTCATTTTGGATGCAATAATTTGGCACTTGAACATGTTAGACTATAAAAGGCGTTACCGATCGGATTGATGCCTCTATAAACTCTTCGTTTTTGAGAGGCATGCGAACAGTATACAAGCTACCGGCCCTGGCAGACTCCTAGAAAGAAAGTTTAGAAATGGAAGGTGCAGACCAAAAGCTGATGCTTTTCATTAGTTGAAAAGGCTTGATCACTGGAAACTAAATTCAGTACTCCAGAGGATGATTTAATCACAATACTCATTTGACTGAAAACCCCATCTACTATATAAGATATCAGGTAAAGAACCTACCCTCTCTAAAGCTATGTTCAGGCTTGTAACCAGAAACATCTGAAGTCTTTTTAATTCAAAACTAAGTTATTATACCGTACTGAAACTGATGACAACAGAAACGAGAGTAGAAATGTTAACATTGCGCACGACCTTGTAAAGACCGAATCGCCCAGGCAAATATTGCACACTAATGTGATAATCTCCAATATCCAATATCTTTTTCACGAGCTAGTGTACACCAATTTGATTTCTTCGCGCTGGACTCCTG